TCATTCTTCCGTCTTACTTACTGAGGTAGCATCTCCATCAAACCCAGAGCTTGCCATCCTCCTACTCTTTCTAGCCAGCTTGCTTTGGGATCCCCTATCTCTGCTTTATAAGGCTGTCATTACATGGGGACCACCATACCTACCTAGCATACATGCTTGAAGGCAGATGTCCTAATTTCTGATCCGTCTCTCCATCCCCTAGAAACTCTAAGATTATGATGGTCGGAAGTTTGCTGTTTTAGTACTGTGTGCAAGAATGAAACTTGGGGCTGGGGAGATGGCTCTCTGCTCTTGCGGAGGACCCAGCTTCAGTTCCACAACTTACATGACAGCTCACAACCACATTTAACTCCAGTTCCAGGGCATCTGATGCCCTCTGGCCTCTTTGATAATCTGCACATATGTGGTGCATATAAATTCATGCAAGCACACAAACATACATAAATAAGCAAGAACATACACATATATGTATATATACTTAAAAAAAGAATGAAACATGCACATTTTCCTTTTGCGGTGCTTCTCCTGTGGTAGGTAAGCTCTACCATTGAGCCAGGGTCCCAGGTCAAACCTATTGTGATTTTTTTTCAGCACTGGGAATGGAGTTCTGGGCCTTATACATGCTAGGCAAGGGCTCCACTGCTTAGCTACGTCCCTAGATCCCTTATGTACCTTTTGATTGGCAGATTCATGCCATCTGCTTCATAATCAACTCCAGCATTTAGTGTCAAGGAGTTTCTGGTCCCAGCACCGCACCCTGATCTTAACTGTAGTTTCCATGGAAACAAGACCCCGTGTCCTGTCTCAGTCTGGACCTAGGTCAACTCTTGTCCTAGCAACCTGGCTTTACTGGGAGTGGTTGATGCATGGCTGAAACATACCTTTAGCGGACACCCTGTGCTGAGTATTCTAGTCTTTTCCTGGCAGATGCTCTACAGTCCCCCTGCTGTGCAGCCTCCTTGCTACAGTGAGTCAGTGAGACTGACTACCAGATTCAAGGGCAGTCCCTTAGGTATCTTGGGCTGACAGGCCCTGTGTGCTTAGCATCCCGACCCAGGGCCCCTTTTGTGAGTTTCCAGACTATATTTCTAAGCACTTACTGGAAAGATCTGGAAAGGCCTTTACATATTTCAGATGCAACAGATCAATATAGACATTTTCTTTTTTCAAGGAAAATATTGTGCTTCTTGCTCTCCTTACTCTGGCCATCAGCCTTAGACTTTGATTAAAGCACTAGGCATCTTGTGAGTATTTTTCCTCCATCTCTTGTGGTTAGTGAGCCTGGCTTTCCACTCATTGCTAGCACAGTATGGCGCACATGGTAGGTTTTCAGAAGGTAGTTCAACGGGTGAATGAGAATCTGGCGTCTGGGGCACTTTCTGACCTTTACCTTAGCTCAGTGAACTCTGCTAGCTCTGGGCCTTAGCCTCCTGGACACGCTCCCTGCTTTACCTCAGGAAGAATCAGGAAGAGATCTGGGCGTTTCTGGTGTACTTCGTGGCACCTTATTTGAGCACCGACCATGGTATTTTTTAGCTCTTGGGTGGCCTATTTCTTCGTACTCAGTATTGGTGGCTCTGAGCAACTGCTGGGCATGTACAGTGTGCCTTTCCTCCAGGCCCGGCTCAGGAGCCATTTGTGAAGCAAATGCTTTATCTGTACCTCACTCCCAACAGTAGCTGTGGTAGAGAGGCGCAGAGGACCTTTGGAGGTTTGGGACAAGACTCACCTCAGGGTTAATCAGAAGGTGTAAACCATCTGGGGCATCTTTCAGAAGTCACTTCCCTTGGGCCATTCCCTTAAAAGACTCTCACCTGTGCCCTGTGCATCCTCATCTCCCTCGAACAGTTATGCTTTCTCATCCTACCGTCAGTTTGAAGCTGCACCCAGTCACGGTCCCTTCAGGAAGCCCCAAGGCTGTGGGCTGCTTATCAGTCTATATTCATTTCATGTCAGGTCTGTCTGTGGTTAGAAACCAGGAACCAAAGAAGAAGGGGAAGAGGCATCTAAGTACCCTTAGTCTCTGAAAGCTTATTATCAAGTGTATCACTCAGGGTCTTGAGGGATGACTAGGTGGTTAAGAGCATTTGTTGCTCTTGTCAAGGCCTGGGATTCTGTTCCCAGCACCACATGGTGGCTCACAACTGTCTGTAACTCCAGTTCCAGGGGCTCTGACGATCTCTTCTAGCCTCAGGCACCAGGAATGCACATGGTGCACATACATACACTTGGGTAAAGCCTTCATACACATAAAGTAAAATAAGTCATTTTAAAAATGTATTACAATAGCCACTAAAAATAGAATATAATTACTTTTTTTGAGGCAGGGTCTTACTATGTATTTCTGGCGGGCCTAAAACTTCCTATGTAGATCAGGTTAGCCTCAAACTGAAAGAGATCTGCCCTCCTCCTAGATTCCCAATGCTGGGATTAAGGATTTACTCTCCCATGCCCACCTCATCTGTAGTCTAGTCAAGTCACCTTGCAGTTCTTGTCTCTGGAGGTAAAGGGACACTTGCAGCCACCAAGAGGTGACTGGAAACCTTGGAAACAGAGCGGAGACACACGTCACCACTAAGGACATCTTTAGTCTGGAAGAAAATAAAACAGCAGCACCTGCTTGTTGGGTTTTGTTGCTGCCCCATGCATTCAGGTATTTGCTTTTTACTTGAGAGTAAAAAGCTTAGCTACTTGAGAGTAGGTTATAGTCACTCACCCATAATGCTTCAGTGCATGGACTCTATAACTCATATGGTCACTATGCTCAGGAAATTTAACATAGATACAGTATTTCTCATTATTTTCATGTGTATGGGTGTTTTCCCTACATGCATGTATGTATGCACTGTTAGATCCCCTGGGACTGGAGTTACAGATAGCTATAAGCCACTGTGTGGGTGCTGAGAACAGAATCCAGGTCCTCTTCAGGAGCAACACATGCTCTTAACCTCTGGGGCATCTTTACAGCCCCGAGTTCACCACTTTCTAAAACCACACAGTATATTAGTTTTATCTCATCCCTGTCCCAGCCCTGAAACCAAACATTTCTTGGGGGAAAACCCTGGTTCTTTTAGGAACTGGATGTCATTTGGGTATTTTGTTCATCTTTTAAGTGTCCATGTGTGTTGGGTCTGTAGTGTAGTTGAGAGGAGTACTTGTTTAGCATGCGTGATGCCCTGATTCAATCCCTGGTAACACACACACACACACACACACACACACACACACACACACACACACACTCACACACACTCCATCTCTTCTCTGTCTCCTTGCTTATTAAGTTGAATTCTTGCTGATGGTATGCATTTTGTGAAATCATAATAATTTTTTATATCACAATTGTTGCTTGAAAGCATAAGTTGACTTGGAGTTCACTCCATTCATGAATAGTGCAGTGAGGACTCTCCTTGTAGTCTTAGGGATGCAATTTTGCTGGGACAGTAGGCATGAGTGTGCAGTGTGTGTGTGTGTGTGTGTGTGTCTTAAGTGGAGACGTGGAGACTAGCTCTAGCCACCTGGACTATGAGAAATTAGGAAAAAACATTATTTGGTTTAGGATTAAGTGCTGAGGCTTAATTTGGCCTCTGTCTGGAGTGGAGGGGCTGCCCCATGCAGGCATGGCTGGTAGGCAAAAGCTGGAAGTAAAGACTAGGCTTGGCATGCCTGGGAACCTTAAGATCCCTCAAGGGAACCATACAGGCTCTTTACTGGGAAGGAAGGACTGGAGTTGACTCCTGCCTGTGCTGCCCTGGTAAGCAGTGAGGGAGGGGGAATGAGTGGGGTCAGGCCTTCAGTTTCCTTCACTGTGCAGAGGGTGGTACTTGGAGAGGTGTGAGACTCTGGGGAGGACTTTGGGGCTAAGCCCAGAGTGCAGTGAGGCATGAACCCCCAGTGTTTGGATCTTGCCCCTTCATCCTTTAGCCAATACCTTCTCTTTTTCCTCCCAGCTCAGTCTTACCCTATTGGCTTTGTCCTCAGGCAGAAGGCCCAACAGCCCTGTTGCTGGGTTTCCTTTCGATGTGCTTGAATGCCTGTGGCCTGCTTAGCACAAAGCCCTCCTTTTCCAGGGCCCCTGCTCCTGGGCAAGGCCTGGGGAGCTGGCCCTGCATTCTGCGCTTCACTGAAGCAACAGGGCAGTAAGTTGAAGGAGGGTCTGGGCTGTGAGTTGAGGCTGCCATACTTGGGCTCTGCCTGTGGGGAGCTGCCCTCTGGAGGCAGAGCAGAACCTCAGAGGGGGCCCTGTGAAGGATGGGCAAGCTCTCTCTGGAGTTTCTGAGCAAGAAAGGTACCCACATACCTAGTGATGCTTAGATGCTTCTGAAGTACCTAGACTAGATCTCAGGACAGTGGGGCAGGAGGAGGGAAAACATGGGAGACACCTGGAACAAGGTCTCGAGAATTACATATAAATATTAAAGGTGTGTGTGTGTGTGTGTGTGCGTGCGTGTGTGTCTGTGCACATGTGAATGCAAGTACCCACAGAAGCCAGAAGAGGGCATTGGGTCCCCTGGAACTTAAGTTACAGGTAGTTGTGAGCTACCTGCTGTGAGTGCTGGGAGTCAAACTTAGGTCCTCTGCAAGAGCAGCAAGTGCTCGTAATGGCTGGGTCATCTCTTCAGCTCCAGTCATAATGTATTTCTTCTGTTTGCTTGTTTGTTTGTTTGTTTGTTTGTTTTGAAACAGGGTCTTTCTACATAGCCCAGGATGTCCTGACTCACTCTGTAGACTAGGCTTGCCTCCAGCTCACAGAGATCCACCTGCCTCTGCCCTCTGAGTGCTGAGATAAGCAGTGTGGTGGTGGCACACACAAAGGTCATGATGTATCTTAATTCTCTCTGAGTTGATTTTAGGAAGCTCCCAGCCCTGAGATTCGGACTGAGGTCTCAGTGGTCTCCATCACCCACATGGAGGATTCTGGGGACTGTAGGTGAGGTCACCAGTGTCCTGAGCTTAGGTACAGCTTCTGACTGACCCTCTTCTCCTCTCCCCTTCCCCAGACATCCTTCTACGGTCGCTTCAGGCACTTCTTGGACATCATCGATCCTCGAACACTCTTTGTCACTGAGGTGAGTTACAGCCAGCACAAAGGCCTTTGTACCTTCTTGTAACTTTGTGTGGGTCATCAGAAGGGATGAGGAGGTGAAGAAATGAAGGAAGGTGAGAAGTGAGAGGAGGAAGGTCATACATCTCTGTGTTTGTCTAGCTCAGTCAATCAAGAGGACATCTTTACATCTGCTGTGAGCTTTCTCCCACAATTCCACTGGCTCTCATCGTACCCTTTTGAGAGAAATAGTGTTTCTATTATTGAAACCTCAGTGTCATTGTTACCAATTATGTAAATTATATACTCAGCATAAAAGTTCAAACAGGGCCCAATGTGGGGCTCAGTAATACAGCGCTCACTTATATGTACTAGACCCTGGATTAGATCTCCAGCATGGAGGGGTCGGGGGTGAGGATCAGGTAGTCTGGATGTGGTTAGCAGATCAAAAGGTATCCTTCATTATTCTCCTTGCTCAGTTCCCCACTCTTCTAAGTGACCATTGTCCATAGCTCTGAATGTCTGGTTTGTTAAGGCAGTATTTGCCTCTACAATTGTATAGTTCTATGAATTTTGACAAACATATTCAGCCACATAGTCACAGCCACCATCATGTGAGAGATGGCTCAGCTGGCAAATTACTTGCCTCATAGACATGAGGATCTGAATTCAATCACCAGCACCCATGTGAAGAGCCAGAGGTTTCAGCCCACCCATCTACTCTCAATGCTGGGGAGCCAGAGACAAAAGGACTCCTGGGCCTCATTGGTGGGCTAGTGCATTCCAGTCAGGGAGCTCCAGGCCAATGAAAGACCCTGTTTCCAAGGAGGTCGATGGCAAACCCATGGATGACACTGAGGTTGTCCCCTAGTCTCCACATGCACACATGCAAGCACATGTGCAACCATACCCACAGGAACACCATAGACACATGAACTTAAAAAAAAAAAACAACCAGGTACAGTAGCCTTCCTGTGTAAGCTGGGGAGATGGAGGCAGGAGGATCACTGTGGTGCTCAATCAGACTAGTCACATTCATTGAAATACCAGGTTCATTGAAATACCCTGCCTCAAAAAAATAAGGTATAAAGTGATTGAGGCAGGCACCCAGTGTTAGCTAACCTCTCTCCACATACACAGTGCACACACAGGTATATGCAGCTGCACGTGTATATGGGCACAAGCCATCCACACAGGGTATAAGGCATTTGTATCATTCTCGCCACTGGCTTATGCTTGTGAAGCCAATCCTCTCTGTCCCAGGTCCCATCAACTTCCCGTTATGCTGTTTCTAGACTGTAGTGCTAATAGAATTTCACAGTCACCTCTTCCCTCTAGTGCTTTGACATTCACCCATGTCACTGTGTCTGTCAGTCAGGCATCTATTAATGCTGGCAAATGTTCCATTGAAAACATTCTCAAGAATTTGTCCGTTGACTTGCTAGTCAACATCTGGACCTTTTCCAGTGTTTGCCTATTATGAATAAAGTTGCTATGAATGTCGTTTGGGTGGATATATGCTTTCTTCTTTCTCTTTCTGTTTCATTTTTTGAGAGGTTTCATGATGTAGCCCTGGCTATGTTGGAACTGTTTTTGTAGACCAGGTTGGCCTTGAGAGCAAGATTGCTAGCTTGTAAAGCAAGTGTGGAAAATCTATGTTTAACTTTTGAAACTATCATATTGCTTTTCAAAGTGGCTCTCCATGTGACACTCCCATCAACAATGTGTGACACTTCTGATGGCTCCATTTCCTCATGTGACACTTGCTGTTATCTCTTGACCTTAACCAAAAGACTGTGAAGCAATCAGTATTATTAAACTGAAAAAGTAATTTTTTGCAGGGGCAACCTAAGAAGTATATCTTTTCCTGTGAATTTGAAAAACGAATTTGGGGATTTATATCCATATAAATAACACACATTTATTAAGTACATGCTGAACAAGACAGTTTGTGGTTTATATATTTATAAGGTGTATTTTTATTACTTTTTACTTAGATGTGTGTGTGCATGTATGTGTGTGTGAAGTTCACCACGTATGTTCTGGTGCCTGAGGAGGCCAGAGGATGTCAGTGCCCCTAGAGCCAGAGTCACAAGCACTTGCAAGCTGCCCAATACAGGTTCTAGGAATTGAACTTGGGTCCTTTGGAAGGGAAGCAAGTGCTCTTCAGTGCTGAGCCATCTCTCCAGCCCCCTTATTTTTATTTTGTGTTATGTTTATTTATTTATTTAATGTGTAGGTATATCAAGGGGTGTGAGTTACGGGAACTAGTTCTCTCCTTCTACCATGTGGGTTCTGGGGATCGAACTCAGTTCATCAGGCTTGTTCATGCCTTTAGTCACGGAGCTCTCTCACCAGCCCTGTATTTTTAAATTGATACACAACACACATATCTTTGCAGTTCCATGTCATGATTCTATACCCATGTATCTCTGCTATGTTCATAGCAGAGTAAATATGTTGGTCCCCCTAAAACATTTGCTATACCTTTGTGGTGACTGTAAACATTTCACACCAATTAGCTTATCAGAATCATAAAGATCTGTCCCACTAGAGGTTGCTATTACACATCCCGTTCTACAGATGAAGAGTGGAAAGTCAAGATTCGTTGTGCAAACAGCACTGTCCCAGGCCGAATAAGAGCAGGTACACTTGCCTGCTGATTTGGTGCTCAACAGGTTTGCATTCCTGTTAAAAAAAATCTGAGTTTCGGAACTTGGCCAAGATCACTCAGGCAGCAGCAGAATTGAGCTCCATCCCTGACTGCCCTGCTCCCTGAAGCTCCTTACGAGCCTTGGAGGCAGCCTCCTGACTGCCAGAACTGCCCTGTACCTGTCTGTCTGGCAGTGATCCATAGGCCTCAGGGTGGACATGCTCTCAAGCCATGTCTTCAAATCTTGCCTCTGTTCTGTTGTTTGTTTGTGGGTTTGGTTTTTTGGAACAGGGTCTTGCTGTGTAGCTCTGGCTAACCTGGAACTGACTAGCCCAAGCTAAGCCTCAAACTCAGAACAGAATCTTCCTGCCCAGATCCAATGCTTCTATTTATTTTGAAAGACCCCAATCCATTTGTATATCACTAAGACAAAGGCATGTTGGGAGAAAGCACAAGGCTTTCTGGGTACGTGGATATTAAACCACCCCGTAGTGTACCTGGGTAGCAGCCTGGAACATGAAGTGTGGGGATTACTCTGATATGTGATTTCCAACTACACCTTAGCAAGAACATAAGGCCTGGACATTTTGCTACCTACCTTTATTGGCCCTAGTGGCTTACTATCCCTAAAAGGCCAAGTCTGCTCAACACCTAGACTTTGTCTGAATTCTCATATAATGGAGGTAACTATATAAAATTTGGAAGAGCACCAAACTTGAAAAACTACTTTTTGAGCCCAGTAATATTTCATCCCAGAAAGTTCTAGAACTGTTCAAAATCAGATACAATTCTAGTTCTGAAATCCCAATAAAAATGTTGCTTGCTTGTGAGGAGTAAATGGATGCCAGTGCTTAACTTAAGGCTGGAGATGCTGATGGTGGCCTTGGAGGGCTCGTGGGGGGTGGACAGACTTGGGAGGCCTTCATTGCTCCTCATATCTCATGAGCAGGGAGGCACTGAGGATAAGGAGCTGCTGCAGGGCCAGATGCCGTTTGTGCTAGGAACTCACCCTCCTCCCCCTCCTCCCCCAGGACGCCCTCCTCCTAGGGA